AGGGAGCTTTCTGCTGCTGTTTCTCATTATTGCACAGGTGAGACCCTCAACTTTATATTTATATATTTACAGTATAGATCAAAGTTGAACTTGGGAGACGCGTGTTAAAGTATACATTTTATTTCACCCAACACCAATTGGAAATATAAAGCTTTCACAAAATGCTTAAGTCTGAGCTGAGGCATTCAGAGCAGCACCCAGTCCACAGAGCACCAGCCCCTCTGATCCTCCTGCAGGCGATGAGTCAACAGGAGGAAAGTGGGGATGAGTGTCTTGCCGAAGGACACAACAGCAGACATCAGAGTGTGTTTAAAATTAAACAAATTAAAATATAAATTAAATTAAATTCGAACAATAAAAAGTATATATTATATCAAATTAATAAAATAAAAAAATACTAGAATTCCAGATTTATTTTAATAAATTAAATAAAAAACGAAATAAATTCAATAAAAACACAATTCAATAACAAAAAAATAACAACATTAAACATTAAATACAAATAAAAAAGATTAAAATTAATAATAAATACATTAAAAATTGAATTAAATGAATCGGCTTAGTGCAGGCCTCTGTGTGGTGTGCATGCTTCACAATTATACAATCATCTCAAATTAGCGTGTGTCTTTCCGCTTGACTGCTGACTTGTTATGTTATTGCCCAAAGTCAAGCTCACTTTCATTTTAATTTTTTGTGGCTTTTTCCTTGTTCACAATGTCATCCGGGCAACTTCAGCTCTGCTAATAAAGGCATAAAAAAGCTCAGAAGCTCTTGAATCCAGTCACTGACTAAATTTGACTATATCGTTATATATAGTTGAATATATCAACCATATAGTTTTGAACATGGCAAAAATTTACATATATGTCAGTAAATTAGCTTCTGAGAAAGTAAATTCATTCAGCCAACTTCTGTTTTGTCAGATGTGAATCAATATATGTCTTACCGCATTTTAAACTTCAGAACAGCCTGAATACAGTCGGAGTTGTAAAATGACCCTAACATTGAACAAGGTGACTCCATATAACTTCGTTTGCTGACCCCAAATTTCACAATGCAAAATATCACAATGTAGAACCAGGTCATGTTGCAAAAAATATTCTGCTGTAATCATCCAGGTTACCCCTAACAACATAATCTTTTATCTGCCTTCATCTGTATATGTATATGACTTTGATCAAAGAATGTAGTGACATCTTAATCCACTGCAGTAGAAAACAGTAATACAAATGACATGTGATTTGTGTAGTGAAACACATGATGAGTCCCACATCGACTGCAGTCATCTTCATAAATTATCATGTGTTTGAATCTCAGCTCTGACTCGTGTGTGAAATCCGGCTTTGGTGACAGATTGATAAAATTTGTGGCAGTTTAAGTATGATTGTATTATTGTTTTATTCATTGTTTGTACGTTCTCTTGTGTCTTCCTATCAAGGACGAGCAGTCTGCCTCCCCTGCCTTCATAGAAATAAATAATTATTTTATTTCTATAAATGTTGTTAATGTTCTCCACTGTCCTATGCTTCTAATGTATTTTTGGTACAGTTCCGAACAGTTTTGATCATTTCTGTAGTAAAAATAGTTGAAATCCTGTTTTTTCTATTCAAAGAGACGCTGCACCCCAGATCGCTCACTCCCTGGTGGACTGAGGGAGTACACTCAGCTCGTGCTTGTTGTCATTTTGCTGTTTGTTTCTAATATCAGAACGTATGTCTGTACTATTTAAATTTAGTTTAAGTCTTTTGATCAGAGAACACAAGGAAAAATCCTGCCTTGAGACAGATACTGCCTGTATCTGTTCCTCACTGAAGGGGGCGATAGGAGGCCTGAAGTTCATACAGTCAACGGTTCACACAAGCCCTGGCGATCCAAGATGGCGCCGTATTCAAATGAATGGTTTGTGCTCAGTGGCGTATGTGCCGGCACGGTCGCTGACATATTAGCGGAACTCACCTATATTTGGGCATCGTCTAGTCCTCCCGGTTCTGCGCAGTTGATGATCTCCCATGATGCGTTGCACCAAATATGCGTGTGTGGCTCTCATGCACAGAAGGGCTTGGCCGCGCTTTGACCAATCAGAACTGCTGATCGGAGCGGATCTAGAGTGGGAGCTAGAGCGGGAGCCATATGAGCAGAGTTTGTGGCATTAAAGTGTGGATTTAAAGAAAACCGAAGGATTCTCAAATATGTCTGATGAAAGCGGAGAAACAGCGGCTAGATTTGTTGTGGTATTATTAAAAAATGCGGGTTCTCTTATCTTCATATGTGGACGTTATTGCAATGACAAATTAATGCTATTTTATTAAATCTGACTCTTAAAGTCATTGCCTTCCCAATCACAAACCTCACCGCACGTCACTGCTTCCTATGGGTGCTCCGGTTTCCTCTGGATGCTTTCCTACCACTAACATTTCGGCCGCTCTCCTAAAAATTCTTTGTCTTCTTCTTTATTTAAGCGTAATGGTGCGTTCAGACCAAATGCGTGAACGCACCATAATGCTGCCCTCTTGGTTGATATCACTATATTACACTCATTGATACAAATTGGTGGAGAGAAGGATGGATACAATTGCTTTATCGATCAAGCGCAAGTTATTTATCGATCAAGCGCGAGTTCTTTCCCGAGGAAAATATAGATTTTATTGAAAATACTTTTAAACCAAGATCTTACAGCCTGTACAAAATCTGTCTTTCTGCTGAGTGTAAAGCGCAAAACAATAACACATCAGGTTGACCACACTGACATAATCCATTACGATGCTTGCCAATGATCTTCAAATATGCTGCTAACCCACAATGCCCCAGTCTCAATCTAACAATCTTTACCTGATTTGCTCGACAAGATATCCACACAGGCCTAATATTTTGCACCAGAGGCTGAGAATTAAAATAATGCCTACCATCCTAAAAAATCAGCCTGCAGACTATTTTTAGCGGAGCCTGACTCCGCCCACAAGCATACTACTCAAGATCCGTTTGGGTAACACACCCATGACCATGCTAATATTTACAAATGTCTATGGACCATACGTGACTGCGACAATTATTGCATTTGGCCATTTTTACTCTCTTCATTACAAGTATCCCAGGAGATGTGCAGTCAGACGCATGTGAGGTAATGTCTCAGTAGGAAACACCTGTGCTGGCGAGGCCCCGCGGGCCCAGCCCTGTGGAACCCCGCGTGAGCTGGCCCAGCCCTGTGGAACCCCGCGTGAGCGGGCACAGCAGTTGTGGCGGACACGTCTCCTTTCCTTGATTTAGCGATAACCCGCGTTAGCACAGGACCACAGATAACCCGCGTTAGCACAGGAAGACAGATAACCCGCGTTAGCACAGGACGACAGATAACCCGCGTTGGCACAGCACCACAGATACAGTTGGCTTGTACAGTTGTGTTGGACGCTCCTAAAATGATCGAATCCACATAGTTATTTGTTTAGAACATTGTGAATTCTGAATGTAAAATGTAGCACAACACCTCGAAGATTAGAAACGTCATACTGAAAAATAGAGATATATTTATGTTTTTTGTTATTTCGAACTAGTGAGTGTCATTCAAGAATAGCTGGCTTTCTCAAATCTGACATGCATGTTGGTGAATGAGAGGGCATTTTTAGAGAGAGAGAGAGAGAGAGAGAGAGAGAGAGAGAGAGAGAGAGAGAGAGAGAGAGAGAGAGAGAGAGAGAGAGAGAGAGAGAGAGAGAGAGAGAGAGAGAGAGAGAGAGAGAGAGAGAGAGAGAGAGAGAGAGAGAGAGAGAGAGAGAGAGATCATAGAAGACAGCTTCATGATAGACCTTGTGCAGCGCAGCAGAAAAAACCATATACATTGTATTGGACATGCTTCCGTGATGCATACGTGGTCTAGAGCGGCAGTGAGGCAAATTGACTTTTGAGCTGACATTACAAATATCTTTCCCTAATTATGTTTTAACAATTAATGCATATTTTAGGTGTTCTAAAATATTAATTCTTATGAATCTGGTCACCATTGCTTTGACTGTGGAAGTAGTAAAAGTGACCTAGAGATGACATGACCCTTTAGAAGACGTAAATGTTAAAAATATATATTTTTTCACTGGAGGGTGTGAGCAGAGGGTCTGGTGACATGTGGGCGTTTGGACGAGCTCTGCCACATGCAGTGAGAACCAGACATGTTAGATTTGTAGAAGACGGCGTAACACTCAGACATTCACTTGAAGACTGTCGACAGTACACATGTATAGATTTATGAGCAAGAGAGTAGTCTATTTTGATATATCTACAGGAGCTTATTTCATTTTATCTTTTATATTATTTTACAACGACAAGTGTACAACTATATTACTCTTTGAGTAGTTTATTTGACTCAAAGTAAAATACACCAATGGGGAGAGAGCTCATCGTTCATCTTGGAAATAATTTTATCCACTCAGAGAGAAGGGGTACTTTCCCTGGACGGCCTCCTTAAGCTCAATCAGAGTAATGGGACAATTGAGTTCAACCGGATCATCTTCCGATAATTTAGCATAATGAGCATCCTAGAACGTTTTTGTCTGTTGCGTGCAAACTCTGAACAATTTAGAAGAAAAAGAAGAAATACTAAGTTAAGACTCTTTACAGAGGAGATATTCCTCATCAGCCTTAAGAGAAAGTAAATGGCCCAATTAAGATAGCAGCATTGTCTTCTCTTATAAGAACTTCTGCGCAACATTTTAGAATGCCATTGAATTCCTTCTCCACCAAATCATACTGTATTGAGACTTCTCCATCATAACATAGTTGTGGAAAATAAAAATAAACTTTTTAACATGTGAGGTATATAGAACAGGATACACAATTGTGGCATTAACAACAGACCCTGTATTAAAAACCACATATTAATTAGACTTGGGAGTCTTCAGGGGCTCAAATTTTCTTAGGATTAGAAAAAATGTAAGCTACACTTTACAAATAGTTTGTGTGTCTGTGCCTCTTGTCAGGTGTGTGTGACCTGCTGGCTCCGGGATGGTGCAGTGAACATGACTCTGCTGACCGGAGAGGGCTCTGAATATGATTTCAGCGCTGTGAGCTGTGCCTCCGACCCACCGCCTTTACATGAGCTTGAGCCACAGAAGGGACTGTTCTACAGGAGGGCGTGGCCAGCTCCACAGATCTGCTCAGGTAATCCGAGATAGGCCTTTTCACTGTAGTTCCCGAGCTCTTCTTGACTCTACTTGACTCAACTCAAGTAGTTATGGGTAAATCTAAGGGGAAACACCACAATCCTATATCGTAGTTAATTTACTTGACAAACCACTACAGAATCCTTTTCACTGAACCAGTAACGTGGAAAGAAACAACAAATCAGATGCACCGAGAGTCGGCTGCAGACAGCTAGCAAAACACAAGAGGAGACACCTGTTAGTTTTTACTTTTTAAAGCTCAGCTGGACTTGTTTCCAAATAGTGGATTATATATCTACATTCAAACTATTGTGTTCATACTTCCCTCCCAAGTGATTCAGAGTTGAGTTGAATTCCTGGTTACATCAAACATAAATTATAAAATGTCACGACATAGAATTTTCTTGCAAATCATTCATTTTCAATTACTTATTACAATATTGTACATCTCTGGTAGTACGGGGTCCGGGGTCCTCTGCTGAGGGCCGTCCGGTCCCTGTTTGGGCAGGATTTCATCTCTGCTGTTTGCGGACGATGTTGTCCTATTGGCTCCAACGAACCAGGACCTGCAACATGCACTCGGTTTGCAGCCGAGTGTGAAGCGGCTGGGATGAGAATCAGCACCTCCAAATCCGAGGCCATGGTGCTCGACCGCAAAAAGGTACTTTGCCCTCTACGGGTGGGTGGAGAGGTCCTTCCTCCAGTGGAGGAGTTCAAGTATCTCGGGGTCTTGTTCACGAGTGAGTGAGGGAGGGATGGAGCGTGAGATTGACAGGTGGATCGGTGCAGCGTGCGCAGTGATGCGGTCGCTGTACTGGACCATTGCGGTGAAGAGGGAGCTGAGCCGAAAGGCAAATCTTCGTTCCCTCCCTCACCTATGGTCATGAGCTTTGGGTAATGACCGAAAGAACGAGATCGCGGATATAAGCGGTTGAAATGAGCTTCCTCCGCAGAGTGGCTGGGCGCTCCCTTAGAGATAGGGTGAGGAGCTCAGTCACACGGGAGGAGCTCGGAGTAGAGCCACTGCTTCTCTACGTCGAGAGGAACCAGTTGAGGTGGCTCGGGCATCTGTTCCGGATGCCTCCTGGACGTCTCCCTGGGGAGGTGTTCTGGGCACGTCCCACCGGAAGGAGACCCCGGGGAAGACCCAGGACACGTTGGAGGGACTATGTCTCTCAGCTGGCCTGGGAACGCCTTGGGGTCCCCCCGGACGAGCTGGAGGAAGTGTGTGTGGATAGGGAAGTCTGGGCGTCTCTGCTTAGACTGCTGCCTCCGTGACCCAACAACGGATGAAGTGGAAGAAAATGGATGGATGGATGGAATTTTGTACATTATTCAAACTCGAAAAGGAGTTCACTTTTAGTGAACCAATTAGGGCAAAAATACTTAATTTATGGACATATGGACACACTCTGGTCATTTGGGACAGACTCACCTTTGTGACAACTCACCTTTGTGAAGAATGAAGTGAAACTCTGACGTTAAGTGTCCTTTCCTGTAGTGGCCAAATGCCATTCTCAAACATTACTATCCAGTATTCCAACTTTTGTACTGTGGTAGATCAACTGTAGTTTCAGGAGACATTTTGTTTAATTGTAGGAGCATTAAATGCACTCATCTGTGACTCCAGACAGCTCACCATTGACAATAAAGCAGATTGGACACGGTTGATGCTATGAGTTTTAGCTTTAGCATAAGTTTTATTGTGTCTTGGGTCAAATAGGCTGTTTGGTCATATAAGATTTTCATTGTCTCCACGTTCTTCCCCTATGAAATAATAGAGTCTTAAAGCTGTGATATGATTATGATTAGCTTCTTCCTTCTCTGACAGATACACATCTGTCCAGTGCTCGCCGCCTCTATGCCATCATAAACGTGGGTGGTCTTCGTTACCAGTTGCCATGGACCACTCTAGAGGACTTCCCTCTGTCCCGCCTGGGCCAGCTCTGTCTCTGCAGCAGCTTCGACGACATCATGGAGATCTGCGACGACTACGACGTTACACACAACGAATTCTTCTTTGACCGCAGCCCATGTGCCTTTAGAACCATCCTGGCGTTTCTGCGTGCAGGAAAACTGCGTGCGGTGCGGGAAATGTGTGCCCTGTCTTTTAGAGACGAGCTGCTCTACTGGGGCGTCCCAGAGGAAGGCCTGGAGTGGTGCTGCAAGCGAAGGTATACTTGAGTCAGAGTTATAGATCTCTTTACTGGTTGCATAGACAGTTATAAACATACTGTACTTCTCCATACAGGTACTGTAAATGTAATGCCACATTCTGGAAGATTGCAAGTATAAGTCAAGTTTGTGGAGGCAAAAAAAAAATATGCATTTTATGTCCATTTTGGCTTAAAGCTTACACAATGGTAGCCTGGCCTTAGCCATTTGTAAACTACATGTACAAAATAAAATGTGTACAATGCTGTGGTAAGACCAGGCTAACACAATGGAGCTTTAAATAACAATGCTTTCTTATTTTGAGAAGTCAAGAAAAATAGTAATAAACCAATCAAATGATCCAAAAATATTTAGATAATTTAGCATTTGTCTATACTGCTATAATCTATGACAGGCTAAAATGTACGAAGAAGTTATAGTTAGTAAAATTATTTGGCCCAGGTGAGGTGAAATTCAAATCTGCTAGAAATGATATCCAAACTCATGTCTAGTACAGTTAATTTGATTTATTAATTCAGATGTATTAGTAAATCAAATAAATAAATGACTGAATCAACTGAGTAACCACCAATTACAGCGCGAGGTATTATTTTTCCTGGTGTTGATAATGTTGTTTAAGATTGGTGCAGCGCATGGAGGAGTTTGAGGCTGTGGAGCGGGCAGAGGAGGAGGAGCAGGAAGAGATGATGGACTCGGAGAGCAGAGAGGCCCCAGCTGACTCCAGACTGAGCCGGTGTATGGTCCAGCTGCGGGACATGGTTGAGCGGCCACATTCAGGGCTCCCAGGGAAGATCTTTGCTTGTTTGTCTGTGCTGTTTGTAACCATCACAACTGTAACGCTGTCAGTGAGCACCATGCCAGCGCTGAGACAGGAGGAGGAGGAGGTGAGTGTGACAGGATAAAATAATGTTATTGTTGGGAAATCTCTTAAACTTTTTATTGTTGAAAAAAATCCCTGGAAAGAGCAGAAATGTGTGAGTGCACAGTGATATACGGTTATGATATGTTAAGCTCAACTCAGCCCTCAATTCAATTAAAGGTACATTGTGTGATTTTTAGTGCCATCTAGCGTTTAGAACTTCTATTGCAGTCCAATATAGTACGGAAGCCTTTGAGTCGAGGAGCACTGTCTTTGACATTCACCAGACTGCGCATTTACACAGAGAGCACTCCTCTCTCATGGACACTTATAAGTAAAATTCTATGTCTATGAATACAATTAAAAAAACATTGTGGAGGTAAATACTGTATTCTTAAAAATGTCACATTTGTTATTAGTTAACATGTTTTTTCATATGGAGCAGCTGTAAAAATTACACAGGGTTGCTTTAACTTTATTTTTGCATAGCCCTAATAGGGATATAAATCGATGACCGTTTAACCGGTGGTTGACCGTCATAGCGTTAAGTAGTAGTAGTAGGTAATCTTTATTTATATACCGCCTTTTCACTGCAGATCAGAGTCTCAAAGCGGTTTACAATTGCTATTTTTGGACATTAGTCTCTCGCTCCACACAGAGATGGGAGCGGGGTCGTCAGTACAGGAGGCGCATGCCAGACCTATTGTACATATTTTTAGTGGTAGGGGAAACCGTAGGAAACTTACGCAGACACGGGAGAACATGCAAACTCCTCTCAGAAAGGCCCTGGTCCAACCAGGATTCGAACCCAGGAAGCCGGCCGGCTCTGATGCTAACAGAGCTATGCTAGCGGCCTCTTGTGTACAGATCTTCTCCAATATGCAGCTTTGCCGCGTGTCTTTGCTCACAGACATTCCACGGGCTTTATATAACAGTAGTATGTGTTCACAGAGGTGCGCCATACGTTCTTTCATATAATTAAACGGAATTTCCGCATCGGCAAACACATTCGAAGCAGTTGCATAAGGTCACGGGAGCATGAGAACGCATATTTTCACAAGCACAGAGTCCCCCATTGTCAACCCTGGTTTGAGATCTGGTGAAGCCTGGTGTGGGTCCTGTTTTGGCTGTTTACGAGTATTTTCAGTCTGCTTGCTCAGTCCGCTAATGTCCCCGTGACCACTTTGCTGCTCTCTGATTGGTTGTCGCACGAACGTCGCAAGGAAAGGATGAGCAGAATTCATCTCCTGTGGGCGTTGATTTTTTGCACCTGCTCCTCCCTTTTCACTTTCCCGCCAAGTCTGTGCATCATTATTGAACAGTCCGTTCGTGCGTGCCGAGAGGTCCGTGCGTTGTGACGGTCGAACGCGCCTCACCATAGACTTTGATTGAAACCCGACGCAACGCATGATCCGGTCTGAAAGCACCATTAGAACTACATTGGAGCATTCATTTTCACACATACATCACTTGTATTTAAACTTTAGAGGAGAACTGCGAGACGCGGCTCGTCACTCGCTGCTCTTACCATGTGAACGGGCCGTTGTTTGCTGCTAAAAAGCTTTAACCCGCAGCACTGAAAAATGGGAAGATTAAAAAAGCAGTTCTCTGTGCGCAAAGGTCCGAAGCTGTTGCGGGTTTCGCTCCGCTCTCTCGGCTCTGATCCAGTAGAACGCATAGCTGCACTTTGTCGTAGAATTACATACCCCAATGAAGGAGAAAGCTCAAAAGGTATTTGTCTTAATCAGGAGCGTAAGTTTATTGTACACACGTGCGGAGAGCTCACATACACAAAGCAGCGTACATAAGCTCTGCCGCGGCCAGACACAGGTTCCTGTTTACATAGACAACACATGAAAGACAGTCACGCCCACAAAAGATGGGAGGGGGTCACAGTTTGAGACGGGCATCCGGGGGCGAGGCGCCATTCCCGGGGAGAGACAATCAGACCGTGCCATGGAGATGCAAACAGAGAGACAATAGACATGCAGGATGTAGAGATGCAGACATACGGACCGATACAGATGCAAGATGCAAAAGGGACAAGGGTGAGACAGTAATTTGCGTCATTGTCTGTCGGTGCGGGGGGGAGCCCGGCTCCTTCCTGCAGGTTAATTGAATAGAGCAGCAGGGGGGGTGAGTTGGCGTCCCCGAGGCTAGGCAGCTTGCCATCACACTCCTCTCCCGTGATAATGTAGAAACCCCAGTTTTACAGAGATCACATTCAGGTGGGTGAGTTTTGACCTTGGTCCCTGAGCAAAACAAGAGTTGTTGATGGACAGGCTACGCTGCCGTCACCCAAGCCTCTTGTATTACGAGGGTGTGGTCAAAGCTCTTCACTGTGATACCCTCCCCCTAAATTGTAGGCGGAACAAGTGGAAAAATAAAAACAAGGTAAACAAGAAAGAAAAACGTTAGACAAAGTCGTCGTCCGAATCGCTGATATAATCAGGATCGGAGTTCAGTGGGACAGCGGCCAGGTCCGCCTCGGGGTCTTTGTATTGAATGGACACAAAGTGAGTGGATATCATTTTACCAACGGCCCGAAACACCATAGGTAATACACATGAAAATAAAATCATAACAGTCAATAGAGCTAAACCAAGATTAATGAGCACACTCCGCCAGGAGGACAGGAGCCAGTCCAGACCGTGAGGAGTGTCCGTGACATTGTCCGCTTGCATGGCGTCCCGGAGTCTAGTCAGATTGGCTATGCCCTGTTGGATAAGACCTCCGTCCTCATCATTAGCCGGAATATATGTACAGCAGGACGACCCAATGATCGTGCATACGCCTCCCACAGACGCGGTCAGGTGGTCCAGGACCAACCGGTCCTGAAGAACAACGGCACGTAGGTCGTGAAGTTCAACTCTCTGTGATTCAAGTATGGCCACTGTGGTATTGACAAAACCTGAGAACCTATAGCTCAGGGTCTCCGTCCTTAGCATTAGTTTACCTACACCCAGGCTGGGGAATAATGCTAACATTATTTTCTGGCCTGTGGTCCATAATTTGTGGTCATCGGGTACATTAGTGCCCCACAGGGGGTCGTCTCGGGATTCGGAGGCAGGGGAGTTGGGCAAAGGGGGGTCGCCTCGGGAACGCTGGGATTCTCTGGGTGTTGTTGTTGGCCTGCTTCACCAACGGTGGTCGCACGCCGACCGACCTCTTCAGCGTAGGGAGCCGCGGATGGGCCTGGTCCGTCCCCACCCTCGGTGTCCTCGTCTATGGCCCTCAGTGGCAGCACCGCACGACAGTGGTAACGGCAGTGTCCGTCACCAGGAGGACGAGGAATGGGCCCAGCCAGCGCTTGGACCGCCAATGCTGTCGTCTCGTTTCCTTCACCAGGACCCAGTCGCCTGGCTTGATCTTGTGCGGAGCCGCCTGCGCAGCCTGTGGCAGGGCGCTCCTGACCTGGGCAGAAATAGAGGGCAAAAGTGCATTAATTTCCTTACAATAGGACAGCATGTCGTCATCACACAAAGGGGTGCTTGGCAGATCTCTGTTCGGGGGTCCCGCGCCCAAGTTGGGCGGTCTGGCAAAGAGGATTTCGAATGGGCTTAGGTTTGACCTTGACCTGACTCTCATGCGCATGTACATGAGGGCTAGCGGCAGAGCTTTGATCCAAGACAGGTCTGTCTGTTCGCAGATTTTAACAAGTTTGTTTTTCAGAGTGCCATTCTCTCGCTCGCACGCGCCTCTGCTCCAGGGGGCGTAACTGCAGTGTTTACGTATATCAATGCCCAGAAATTCACCTACTTCCTCAATGACTTTTGCTACAGAGTGACTGCCATTGTCACTAGAGATTTTTTCTCGGGACACCCCATCGTGGCACAATTTCTGTGAGCAGAGCTTTCACCACCGCGTTGCTCGTGGCGTGTTTGCATGCAAATACTTCAGTCCATTTGGACCAGAGATCCACCAGAACCAGACAGTATTTCTTACCTTGGCATGGTGTGAGTTCAACAAAGTCCATTTGGACATGTTGAAATGGGCGCAGGGGCGGAGGATGGGCAGCCTGTTGGATAATTTGGGACTTACCTGGGTTGTGCGCGAGGCAGATAGCGCATGTTTGGCAGAATCTCTGTGCAAATGCCGTAAACCCCTTCGTATACCAATTTTGTGTGATTAAATTACACATCCCTCCTTTTGAGGCATGGTCTCGACCATGTGCTAAAATCGCAAAATGTCTGAAGAAATGCCGTGGTAAGCACGGTTTGAGGTCCGGTCCCAGCCACACACCATGCCGTCGTTGAGCCCCATTTCCCTCCCACAGCACCGTCTCTGCTGGAGTAGCCAGTGCCTGCATTGCTGACAGAGAGGAGAAAATATCAACGTCTTGAGTGAGGTAGTGTGTGTGTGTGGGTAGAGGTGAGTATGCCGCTGCCTTGTCCGCGCGCCGATTCCCTGCAGAGATGGGGTCAGTGGCATTAGTGTGGGCCTGGCATTTGCATACAGCGATCTCTAAGGGCAACATTACAGCTTTCAGCAGATGTTCAACCTGTGTGGAATTAAGAATTGGTTTACCATCAGATTTCATGAAATTGCGGTGTTTCCACAGTGCCCCCCAGTCGTGCACCACAGAGAAACCATAACGCGTATCACAGAATATGTTAACAGTTTTGCCCGCTGCCAGCTCACAAGCCCTGGTGAGCGCGACCAGTTCAGCGGTTTGTGCTGAATGGTGGTGGGGCAAACTACCAGAGTCTATAGTATCAAAATCAGAACACACAGCATAGCCGACTCGGTTCTTCCCAGTGTTGTCACGTGACGCGGATCCTTCTGTATAAAAAATCAAGTCAGGATTAGTCAGAGGCACCTCTTTCAGGTCTGGCCTGGGAGTGCATATCTGTTCTATTGTGGCGATACAGCAGTGTTCCTCCCCTTCCTCTGGCGTGGGCAGCAGTGAGGAGGGGTTCAGCTGTGTGCATCTTTTCACCGTGACATTGGGGAGTTCAAAGAGCACCGTGTTTGTATTTCAGCCAACGAGCCGCAGAAAGGTGAGAGGTTTTCTGCTCTAGCAGG